TACTCTTCAGTCTCCTGCTGTGTGAGCTCCAGAGTGATTTTTAAGGGCCGCTTCATGAGAATTGTGTTGTCATGGCTGGAGTCAAGGTATGCAGCACTCATCTGTTCGAAGAAACAATGGGGCAGAAATCTCTAGTAGATGAAGCCCTTGAGAGAGTTTCTTTTGACTCTTCCTAGGCTTTTTAGAACTGAGAAATCAAGCTTAATTGGAATTTAAAGACATTATATGGTAGGAATGATCGATGACACTTGATAATTGAACCTGAATCAAAAGGAAAAAACAAGTCATTTATAGGAAATATTTCAGAATAGGGCACTTAGATATCTTTAAATATTTTCACCTAACCCCTCAGCTCTTTAGATCATTTTTCAGAATTCATAAATAATAGCGTAATGCCCATTTAAAAAGATATGACAAAATGTGCTTTTCCAGGGAGTTGCAAAAGCTAATGTACTTTTACATCCAAGTACTTTCCTAGAGTTAATCAAATGTTGCAAAATGGCCTTTAGTTTAATTGCATGTACAAACATACAGACAAAAAGAGAAAACAACTGAGATTATTCATTATCTTTTTCTTTATTATCTTCATCATGACAGCTGTGGGCAAAAAGATCATATGAGGCTAAGGGTAGCCTGACTTCCTTGATCCTTACTAGTTTGTCTTCATGTCTAATATTTTAAACTGTGAACAAGTATCTTAGTGATAATAATAATAATACTCATTTTATAAATCCATTTTTATTTTAAGCTAGCTAGGCAATTTCTGACAAGTAGTGTAAACACAAAAAACTGTTCTGTAAACTCAGAAATAGCCACACTAATAGACTATAGTCATTGTCTACAACTTATATCAGACTTCATCTGACAAAACTCACTTTCAAAAGGCTTAAACAATCACTACAACCTCAATGAGGTACTGAAAAAAAGGTAAATAAAAAAAAAAAAGAAAAGCATTTCCACTGTGGATTATTTCATAAATTCTGTCAGTCCACTCTGTATTGTATGTTCTGCACAGATTATGACTGATCCATGACATTTCTGAGACGGCCCATTGCAGTTGCAGTATTATGGCTTTAAATGTAATATCAGACATCACCATGAGAAAAGAATACCCCCAGGAGTCGAGGACAGAAGGTAATACAGTGGCTCTTTCAGTGGTGTGGGAGACATGGCAAACTGCTGCATAGCTGAACAGTTCCCCTTTGTTCTCTGTTCAGCTATGGATCCGATTTCTCTGAATTGGGCTTATTACAATAAATATAGATGCACAACATGATTATTTATGGGAAGAAAACAGACAAAAGAGGTTGAGTTGCTGGTACCTAAAACCTCATTTTCTGAGCATCTCCCCCTGAGGCCCTTTTCATTTGTTGCACCATTGTATTCTCATTGTTGCTCAATGATACAAGCCTAAGCTGTTCATCAATTTACCCACTCCCCCAATCTCTTTCTCTCTCATGTGTGCTTCCTCTCTCTTCCCATGTTAATAGTTCCCCTGAAATCCTATCACTTTGCTGGAGGATTGATGTAAGTCTCCAGCAATTAACATAATTACAAGCCTGATTATCTTCTAATTGCATTATGAGTATTTGGTTATTCACTACACAAATTAGAGAAAATTAAAGAGGAGCAAGATCCTGTGGTGTGGGCGGGATGCTTTCTAAACTGTTATGAGCATCTGAACGCTGTGAGATAACAAGAAGGTGAAGACGTTTTACATTCCTATTGGCTCACAGTTGTTCTTGTCATTATATAATGGTTTTTTTCCTCTTTCAACAGTGTTTCGTGTCACTGAAAGATGCGGTCTTACTTCCTTTGTTTGGGCAAGTTTACTGACAACATACAGTAAACTAAAGTAAATGCCATATTTTTCTATATAGATTTGGTAGAGTAAAATGATAGAAATTCGAACAAAAAGCACCTAGAGGACATATGCTTCTCTACTACTGAGAAACATCAATAATTCAAATACATAATTAAGGGATACTGTGTGTGATGACAGGGGAACATAACAGTAAACAAACATCAAGAATTGCAGGTTCTTGCTTGTCTCTTCTAGTGTTTTTGAGATTATTGCATTATTAGTTAAATAAGCAAGGATAAATTCAAATAGCAAGTAATTCGTAGAGAGCAGCTTTAAACCTGAGTAGCACTTTGTGGGGCATAACCAATATAGAACAGAAGTCACTTTACTAGCAGCAATGCCAGCAATGAAAAGGGGTGCTTGAATGTACAGAATGAAAATTCATGGAAAAATTAAGTAACTGGATATATTGGAAAATTACATTTTTAAAAGGAAATATTTGGAGTTTGACCAAAATATGGAGAGAAAAACCTATGGCAGGGAAAGGGAGCAAAGATTTACAGAAAAGATTGTAGGTTCTGCTATTGTTGGGTTGAAGACTGTGACTGCTGCTGGAAAAACAGCTATCTCATGCTTCATGCAGGACTAACCACCCTATTATACGCACAAGACAGCCAGTGAGGTAGGAGGTGGGGAGATCTGTTCCAAGTCAACCAGTTGAACTCCCCCGAGCAGTGCTGTGAGTACCCTTTGCTGACTTCCACCCTAAGTAACTGCCAGCTCTTGTGTTTTGGGATAACTCAAGTACACATCTTGTTATGAGCCAAATCCTGCTAATATTCTTCATGGCAGTCTTTTGCATCTTACAGACATGTTTCTAATAGAAGTTAACCTGCTAATGCTCAAAACTGCTGCCTCTGAATGAATTTACAGGATACAGCAATGGTCTAATATCAATGAATATAACTTTGGCTTCTGTATTGGACCTCTCTTGCCCTCCTGGTCTCAAGATTTCCAGATAGTGCAAATGGCACTCAGCCACAAGGGAATAAATTGATGACATTTGCTTATTTCAAAAGGGTCAGCGCACACTCTTTGGTCAGGAATTTTGCCCTCTGACCTAGGAACTGCATAGTGTGGAATTCAAATGTGTGACCTCAGGTTTTGCAGCTGTAAAGTGTTCACTATGGAAACCCATTTCCATTCACATAATTTCCTTACACTTACCTGGTGCATTCAGATACATTCCCCTCTCGGTTTGACTGAAGAATTAGGAGCTAATGATCATAACTTTCTCAAGGGAGCAAAATGTATACTGCAAAACTCACTGCTATTTGCATGCAAAGTGTACTTTGATCTCTTCCTTGTATCTCCTTACATATGACCATATGATTTGATGTCCAGAATACTCCCAAAGACTTAGATCAAAAAATTCACCATTAACACTCCCTGTCTGCAATACGTCCTATTGCTTGAACTAGTAGCTGCAAAACTAGAAGTGTGGATCCTAAATAGGGCCATAATGCCGCAAGGAGGCCTCACCTAAATAGGTTTACTTTTGGTGCTTCCAGTATCCAGTCTAAATATCCCAAAAGCATCCAAGGGCTTTATACTCAAATTGAACTGATGATACCAAAATACAGTAGTTATCTTTTTTCCTCTTTTCAATATTGCATCCCGTATTTAGCACTGTGGTCCTAGTTGTAAAGGCTGCAACACCACAGAGTTTTTGATTTACCTCATTTCTTAAAGTAAATTTCAAGCTGTGGATACAACTTCTGTTGAACTCTCTAATTTCATCTCCCATTTAATACTGTTATTCACAACTGAGAAAACATGCTGCTACTTATCACAGAGGCCCAAAGAGAGTACCTTTATTTTACACAAAGAAGACAAAACACACATTTTGAAACAATGGCAGCAAATCTCCTGAACTTCACAGGCAGTAGGGCCCATTCCAGGTCTCCTGCTGGACAGACAGAATTACTGCAAACTAAAGCCAGACAACACTCAGTCAAGTATCATGGTCTCCAGAATTCAACTGGCTGTGTCACTACATACATGTCCCAACGTTTTCCTTAAAACAAAATGAGATCTGTCCTATTTGAACTTCTCTATTCATACCTTCTTAGGATGGGCAGGAAAAAATGCCATTTTTCCATATCCTCTAGGCCATAAAAGTTTGTCTGATTTTGTAGAGCTCTCAAGGTCCATAACTCCTGGACATTCGCTGATTAAAGAAGCTGGCCATTATTAAAGCATCAATTTAAGACAAATTTAAATGGGAAAGGTGAGAACAATCTTAATTATCTATCACTCTAGCACAGTCATAAAAAAATCCCTCATCAACAGAAGAATTTTCTTAAAAACAAATGAACCATGTATACATATTTTCATTTGATGATACCAAGTGTGTGCATGAAACTATGGGAATCCATCACCATGTGCTTCATCTGATCCATCCAGACAGAAAATAAAGGGAGAAGCCATACACCATATGAGTCCTTAACAGATAATTTAAAAGTATTTTTCAAGGAGGTTTTAAATAGATTCAACATTAAATTGAATTTTTACAAGTAGGTAAAATTTCATATAACTTTTTAAATCTATATAACTTTAATAGCTGTAGACAGTGGGCCAAATTCAGCTTTAATGTAAAACACAGTGAATTTCATGAAAAGCTTCATTGAATTTACTGGCAATTTGCCCAGTATTCAGTTTTGCACTGTCTTTCACGTTCCTCTCACTGCTTCTCTAGACTGTACACAGTCTAGAAGTTTGCAGAAGTCCAGGACTGGTAGTGAAAGTGGATTTAATAGTCTAATATCAAAGAGCCCATGGAGAAAAGCCACCCTGCAATTTTGTCAGGGAAAGTAAACAACAGATCCCCATTTTCACTGCTGCCGTCGTAAAAGGCCATTTTTAAAATTCTACAAATACTTTGCTCTGAATAGCATCCCTGAAATTTAACTGAAGCCTGGACTCCCAAGTGAAAGAATGAATTAGAAAGAAATAAATGAGGATTTTTTTCTTTTGCACTAGCACTTGACAGTCCCACTTTTACAAGTAGGTAAGAATTCTAAGCACCTGATTATTGACAGAAGACACAAATACTTCCTTTAAAGAAATCCTGTGCAGTACATAGATAAAGTTTCCACAACACAGTGACTCTGAGACCCAAATAAATTGCCCATATGTGTTCTCTACAAGTTATGCAAACAATTTCTAGGAGCCAATATTCATGACAGGATAGTCTAGAGCTGTTTCAGATTGTTTTAAAACAGAAAGCAGTACATGACTTAGTAGGCAGACTGTAATACCAAGGCACAGCTATCCTTAAATTTGAAGTGTTATCTTCCTTTTTGATGTAAAACTCCTTCACCACAGTGAAAAGCAAACAAAATATTGTTTCCCTGCTTCATTACTTTAGTAAGAAGGATTGACGACATGCTTAGCTGGCAGGAAAAAATAATTTATTTCACTGTCACCTTATTTGTTCACCTGCTGCAAGGTAAATAGAAGCTAAGTCACTTTTTATTTATTCAGCTTCTGTAAGACACCTATACTGAAATAGCTGGCATTATCTATTATATACAACCACTCTACTATACTGATCACAAAAAAATAAAAATAGTGCAAGACTCTATATAGCCAACTTCACTCTTAATAGTTATTATTTGGTGAAAACAACACACCACCTTTTAGATTTTTAAACACAATGCCTTATTTTTTTTTTCACTCATCACTTTTCCAATTTAAAATGTGTTTTGAAAATAAGAGTCATTTAACTGAATTCGTGTTCAAAATGTACTAGGAAAGTAGTACATGTAGGAGTTTTCAGTGTCTGGGTTTTATCTGTTATCACAGATCTATTAGTAGTAAGTAGTATAATTTCTTTGTCATACCAGTACAAAAAAAATTAACTGACAAATATATTTGAAAATGCAGTTAAGAGCCAATTCCCATGTTAATTTCTCAGAGAAATTTCCCACTAGGGTGTGGCTGAAAGCAGAGAAAGTGAGTTGGGATTGTACAGAGATTACTATGCATTAGCGTAAAGTATATCTTTTCCTGTGAAGTGAAGAATGGTATAAGCTCCACACTCAAAATGAGAGTATAAATTTGACTCAACAAATCAGCCTGCTTGCAGAAGCTTGCTCCACTCTCTCATTTCGTAGCACAAATAAAATGCTTTTTTACCCTGCCTCTGCAAATAGAGTCAAACATTCTAAATAAAGTAAAATTTTATATCACGGGGACAAGCAAAGAATTTACGTTTCAGGAGACTGCTTGACAGAGAAATGAGATGCAGGGTGAGAAGGTATTCTGGCAAACTCATATAAGGCCACAGAAGTGAACGTAGTGAGGGTTTGTCTTCGTTTTTTACTGTTTCATGCTGGCTTCAGCCCATGCAGCACTGAGCTCTTCGTTGTCACTGGTGGATCAGCAATTGGCTCCAACATTCAGCTGTCCACAGCATGGGCAGACCTGCCGCAGCTGGCTTAGTGGGTGTGCTTTTCCAGAAGTCTGTAAGAAGAATTGAATTCATGCTCTTGTTAGCTGTAAAAAGAAGTTGTCACTGTCTCCACAGATTACAAACACAGGCAACATTCCTCTCTCTGCCATGCGAATTCTGGTACCTACCGTTACTTTGCTTACAGTAAATAAAAAGGTTGCTTACTGTTGCAGTGTTTACCTATTGAAATATTACTCTTTCAAGAGTACATTAATATCTTTCAAATGTCCTTTTTGGTACTTTCAAATTTGTCAGAACTCTGATTTTGGAAATATTCAAAAGTTTTCTGAGAACATGAACATCATCTCCTCCCCTTGAGTTCCCAGGTTGCTATGCTAGAACAGGTCTCAGTCTCTATCTTCCAAATGGTCATTTACATGTGTTAAAAGACAGGAGCACATTCGGTGGGGGAAACTGAAACTACCAGCAAGAGGGAGGGCATTCACCTAAATGGAAAATCCAGGTTCAAGCCTTTTATGTAAAACAGACAGAAGAACAAACTGACCTCTATTCTCTCTTGGTTCACATACATCCACTGGCTGGTTGGGTATGCTGAGTTTTATTCAGGTTTAACCAGAAAATCATTCTTGAAACTGCAGTTTTGCTGAAATTGGTATATTTCTGGGAAAAGAAAAAAGCCTTCTCATTTCAGCTAGCCAACTGAGAGATTCTGACACAGTTCGCATGGCAAAAAGCTATTTTTAAATTTTTATTATGTTTCAGTAGTGTTATATTTATGTACAGTACATTACATTCTGTGTTTACTTCATCTCAGAAGATATAACAGCAATATATGGAACAGCTACATACAGTGGGAAAATTTTATGTATAATTTGATATATTAACCTGCTATTGTTCTAAGTTCATGGAACACCAATGGAAAAATATAAAATATTATAACACTTGATCTTTGATGACATTATTATGCTAATAGATCACATTTTTTGTCTTCTGAAGAGATTTTTCCTTTCCACTGTAAAAAATCACCACCTCCCATTATTTTTTCGAGACTGTTCCGTATTCTGCCAATAGCAGATACTTCACTTACACACAATCCTGGGACCAAAAATGCAAGATATGTTCTGAGGCAGACTTGATATCATACCAGATCATACATAGATGCACACTCTGAAGAAACACCAGTATCCCCAACTTTTACCTGCTACATTCGAAGGTTGGTCTTGTTCTATTTTGCATCACTGGACCAGCAGCCATGACCTGGGTCTCTGCTTTCAAGCTAAACCAAAAATGTAGAGAGTTGTCTCCAATGTTTCTGTTGGACAAGTATATAAGCTCACTTTCAATATATTTTAAGACACATTGGATTTTAATAGACCACAGTTTTGGACTTGCTGTGGTCTTTGGGGCTAATAACAGAGGACAAAAATAGACAAACTAAAGACCTAGCCCAAAATATTCTGGCAGGAGGTCCTTGCAAAAGACACCAAGGACTTCAAGTGAGAATTTGATGTTTTCCTCACACCTATAATGTCTTTTCTTATCAGCAGCTGAAGATCTGGCTAGCAGTCTCCAGAGCAGTTCTCTTGGAAAACATTTACAAAAGCCGCCAATGAGCTAATAAAAGCTGAGAAGTAATATCCTGGCACCCACATTTTATCTCAGGACTGCAGCAGGTGGAAGTCACTGTTGCGCCATAATTTTCTCTATTTTCTGGAGAGGGCTTCTCCAGCAATCTGGGCAGAATTCAAATTTAGCATCAGTAGTTCTGAGTTGAAATTCATTTTTCTCCATTGACTGCATTCTGCTATTATCAAGTAATTTCCTATAGACCCAACAACACATCTTGCAGTAATGTGCATTCTAAACCACTTCAGGCATCTTATTTGTCCACATTTTCCTCATCTCCAGCATCTGGTTGGCCTGCAAGAGAAAGCCTGGGCAAAGAACTACCAAGTCCTTTAAAATGTTTCCTAAATTTGAATTATTTTAACATAAACTGCAACTTTTTTCATTTTTCTGCCTTTTGTTTGTTTTCATGCTTCTTCCAGCCTCTTTTTGCATACTTAAGCTGGTTTTTATCACCTGATTTGAAGGTGTTTAGAGATGCCAAAACCCTGCATAAAAGGGTTATGTAACCATGGCTGATTCTTTACAGCTTGGTGAAGTAAAGCATTAATACTTCTCACTTGTGAGATTCTGTTTTTCCATTCCACCACTTCAGTGGACAAACTTTCTTGCTGTGACACACTTGATAGATGTTGAAAGAGATTAGATGAACTGAGGGCAGTTAGGGTGACCAGAAACAACTGCCAAGCGCACGTGGGCATATCAAAAGAAGGACTGTGCCATACTTGCACTATAACCTATAACTTGCTATAACCTACTTGTACACTTCATGGGTTATTTTCAGAGACAAGGGGAAGTGTGTCCCAGTATAGAAATTCTTAAAGACTATATTTAATAACCAGAAATTTCTTTTCTATACTTTGAAATTAACCAGCAAACTTTCTGTCTTACTAATTAGGCCAACATTCTTTTAAAGGGTATCAGTTTGCTTCACTTTCAAACTTACTTATGGAGAATTACCTAGTGCAACTACTCCAGTATATCTAGGTCCCTGTTCCCTATAGTTTCTTTCAAGTTATTTTGATAAACGGACATACTGACATTTCCTAACCACAGAACATGATTTTAGAGACCATCTTTGAGATACAAGACTAAGAGTTTTCACATATGCTACAGTTCAAGAGAAAAACACTGCATGCAATTCATCTATCCTTTGGAGAACACAACCTATTGGAACTCTGGGCTACAAAAACATAATGTTATAAGGAAAAACAAGTAAGTAGCCCACCTTATACCTGCCTCACTCTGGCAAAACACACCCTTTTAACAAGAACAAAAAAATCACAGACAACAGCCAGTGATAGTGATTTCCATGTATTCCTTCTCTTTCCTCTAAATATCAAGACATTTTAAAAACTGTATTGCTGCTTTCTTCTAGGTACTGTAGTCCTAAGGGAAACTTTAATAATATAGTTGAAAAAGTAAATAAATAAATAGAAAGGTGCAATGTACCCTCCACCATCATACACTCATTTTTATGCCTTTCCTCCCTCTTCAGGTCAATCTTTCATTAGACTGACTAAATTTTTTTAAGTCCATATTTTACCCAGATGTCTTTAAAGCTTCTTCTATCCTCTCCCCAAAAATTAGGTTTGTCACTAAAATATTTGTCATAGGTCTATATTTTTAAAATCTACCAGCTTGCCTCATTTATCATAGTAATTTTACCACCCCTGCTGATCATCCACTTTAACTGGTCTGAAAAAGAACTGCTGTAATGAAATATGTGAACATAGTGACTAAGAACGAGGCTTTATGATATGGCATAGTCACTAATTTTCTAGCAAAAATGGCATTGGAGGGTATCTTGTCTCTTTCCCATTTCATTTGAGATAACTGTGATGGTTTTGATAACACAGGACCTTAGGTTCCTTAAATGGATGCTGGTCCATTACATTTGGAAACACTGCCTAAATAGGGTATGAAATCACATATTCATTTTTTACAGAGACAGTAATGGGGAGCAAACAATGACAGCTGAACTTAACACTACTCAACATTTAAATTTAGCCGGGAAATTTCCACCCTAAATTGAAAAAATACCTTCTTAAAGATAAACTCTGAAATAGGTTGAAGATGCATATTATACATTATTTTACAGTATTTTATTATTAACCTTGTCTGACATCTAGTAAACACTTCAAAACAGCTCTTTTGGTCTCTACTTCATTGATTTTAATGAAAAAAAAAGGCCTATTCTATAAAGTACATATAGAAGGCCATATACCACAATGCAAGTAATTTGGCATACATCCATAAGTCTTGAAAGGAGAGGCACTTAGAAGTGTGAATGTGAATTGCTTTGCAATCTGCAGTGTGGTAATATAGCTGTCAACCATATTTCAAGTTGTGCAGGACTATGGATAGAAAGCATCTCTGAAAGACATGCTTTCTAAATAGCAGAGACTGAATGACTGACATTCAAATACCTTTTTTTTCTATTGGGGTCTAAAATGTCCTATGAAGAAATGAAGTAAAGAAGACTACCTTTCTTAGAACATAGGGAATTTACCTAAAATGTGGTTGAAAACTGAAAAATCCCACTACAGAGTGTGCATGCAATATTAAAGAGAGAAAGAGAAGATCAACGTACTTGCATACAGCCAGAAGTGTGAAAGTTGGAGGTTTTGGCATGGAGGGTCTGTGACTCTCTATAAGGTTTCAATTCCTCCTGAGTTTGCACCCTTGAGTTTTACTTTGGGTTATGGGGTGAAAAAAATAATACTCAAAACAAGACCCATCAAGCTACCAAGATGCTCTTTTCTTCAAGATGAAATAATTAAAACCCACTAAGTCTTGGCAGCATTTCTACCTGAAATTATCTATTTTTTAATATTTTCTGGCTATTTAGCTTCACTGGAAAGTTTACAAATTTAGGCACATCTCATCTGAGTTCTAGTTTTGTACCAGCTCATGAAGACATGAAAGTTTCTACTTGCTTCTGCTTTCATTATGAAAGTTTCCTCACCATTTATATATGGCCATCTAAATCAGAGATTAGTGGCTGAATTAATGCATTACAGTAATCTGTAATGTGTTAATTCATCTGTAATTCATCCAAAAAAAGGATGAATTTGACTTCTGTAGCACAATAACATGACTTATGTTCTTGCCCGATTGGTTATCTCACTTTCAACTACTCTTTGATGTCCTACGTGTTCTGAGAAAGCCACCAGATTTCCCTATGGTGCAGTTTCTTCCTATTCTGTAATATCAGGATAGCATTTACTTAGCTTTGTAAAGGTGCTTACAGAATTTAGGATGAATGATTAAAAACCAATTATTAATGTTATGTTCTAACAACTGTATGAGCCATATAAGGGAAAAAGGTATGGCATTCACAGAATAGGCATTTTAAAATGAAACGGGTTTTAGGCATTCAGATTCTGGGGTGAGGGCAGGGTTTGAGTTATATACCCAGTAA